CGGGCCCGGCCAGCGGCCTCCCGGAGGACCGGGGGGGTCTCGCCGCTGCTTCTTGCCGTTTCTGCCGGCGGCGGGGAAGTAACTTTCACGGGAAAAAGCGTTGCACCTTTCGGTCGTGCGTGTGTTTTCCTGTGAGGAAGGAAAAGGAGGAACTTTTTCCCACGCGGCGCGTTTAATTTTCCCTCCTGGTCGTCTGCTGCTGGATGGCTTACAGCGTGCCATTAACAGTGAAATCACAAAACTTCGCCTTCCACACGGGAGTATTTTAACTTCTTTTAAGAGCAAAGCATAGTGCCTCCCTTAATCCTTCCCAGAAAAAAAATTCACCCCGCAATTGCTGCCAACTTGGGAATCTTTGCGATGGCAGAAACGATGTCTGAAGCTGCATTTGAGCATGTAAAAAAGTCCTGTTTCATCTAAGAGAAGCTAGGAAAACTCCCAAAGTGGGAAGAGCATCTTTTTTTTTTTTTTTTTTAACCATCTTGCATGGGCATGTGCTTATTATTGGTAGACGTAGTACAAGTGAGAGAGATAAGAAAAGGAATGTTTACGCCCAGGCTCTCTTAACTTGCCTGAACTGCTCCAGGACACTCAAGGATGTGTCTTCATTGTTCCCGGTTGAACCCCCCTTCCAACTACCAACATTGCAACAAGCATAATACAAACAAAGAGGACAAACTTTTGTTCCAGTTGGCTTCTGTACTGTCTCTCCCTATACGTGAATTTCAGTATTGCCTCTGTTCGAACTTGGTAGGCAACACTGGAAATTCATCGTGGTATGGGCACTACCCCATTGTATGGTAGGAGACAGAATAAGCACAAACAGCTCCTCAGCTATGGAAATTATTCATAAAGGTAGAGTTTTCCTTCCTTTCTGTACAGTGGAAGAAACAATTCCCCACTTCTAGCATCGTTCCAGAATAGTCTTTGGCTAATATGGTGCCTGAATTTAGCAACGTGCCCTTAGCATTGCCTTTCACCTCTTACGTTTTAAAGTGAAATACTTTGTGCAGATAAAGCAGAATGGGAAAATTAGAGGGATTTGGGGGTGGTGGTGGGGAGTGATTAGAAAGATGATAATTCAGCTTGAACCTGCTTGAAAAGATAGCTAAAAAAGCTGACCTGAAATCTCTTACGGTTTTGGACATGTCATGGTCACTGGCCACAGAGCGGAACGTAACACTCCCAGAGCACCTTTTCTGTCCATGTGCTGTATGTGACCCATCTCCCAGTCCCTTAATTCTGACCTTGACTTTTCAAGGATTGTTTATGGTGCATGTTACTAGGACGTTCAGGCACCTCTTGTGGCTTCCCACTGTAAATACCAAGAGAACAAACTCTCTGATTTATTAATCAAGTAATTAGATACAATATATTTATGGCTACTGCAGGCCCACAGTAATTTGTTTTAACAAAGTGCTAGGCTGCAGTGAAAAACAAACTGATACGGTGTATCAGTCCTTCTTCATAAGGAGAATCCTCTTTATAAGCAAAGATGGTGGCAATTATTTAATGGAATGGCTAACGTTTCCGCTGAAATTTGAATTTGTAAATAGCTGGACCATTTGTTGTCTCTTTCTTCACCTTTACTTTATGAGTTTTGTCCTGGAAAAAAGAACAAGAAAAAGATATTTGCTGGCATGTAAGAAGCAGCAGGGGGGGACAAAACAAAACTAAAAACAACCCACCATCATTTAAATAAGAAAATCCCTGTCTGGACCTAACGAGGCATTAGTGAAAAATGGTCACTTTCCACTGTTTAGGTGGGAATTCTATTTCTGTCTGCTCTTTCCACCTTTAGGCTGTCAGGCACAATCTGCTTTGTTCATAAGCTCCAGTAAATGACGAGTCCCATTGAGACAAAGAATTTTTTTGGTCATCGGCATTTTTAAGATCTTCTCAGGACCTACAGAAATGGTTCCTTGCCTCTGCTACTTGAAAGTATTAATTTAGTACTTGAGAGATGGCAACAGTATTTTAGAAAAGACTTGTGAGCACCATTTCAAAGTTGAGTCTTTGTCCTCGCTGACCTGGTAAGACTTGGACTAGCAGATGTAATTTACTAGCCATGGCACAACTGGAATGCTTCACCTCGCTTTTTCCATACTAAAAGAGGATTACTTATTTTTAGGAGTTATCTAGAAGTGTCAGCATAAAAACAGAGTGAAGAAACACATACATACAAAACTAGACCTCATGACCTTAACAAAACAGATTCAAAGAACCAGAACTAAATCCCTCACCAGAAGATCTTTACGTGTCTGGATTTTCTGTGCAATAACAAACATGGCCTTTTCTCTTTCAATGCGCTGCTTCAGGAGGTCATACTGATTCTTCCTTTGCTGGGCTAATTTCTAGAGGAAAAAGGAAAAAAAAAAAAGAAGCATTTTTAAAACAGAGAGAGGAACAAGACACTATGGTCTGTAACTGACCTATTCTGAGGAACTTGGACATCACAAACATTTTTTTCATTTTTAAATCATAATCATATTAAAGAATGCTGCTTCAATTCTGTGGCTAGATTCCAGAGAACCGTTTTAACATATTGATTCTCATACTAGAGGTTTTCTAGTTAGGACTTAATTCTTTGTGCTTGTTCTAATCTCCTAAATCCAAACATAAAAAACCCAAACCTCTTCTAACCCAGTTTAGATGCTGTGTAACCTTGTTCAGCAAGAGGCTGGAATTTCATTTTCCTAAATCGTCTGATTTTCAATGTTGAGTGCAAGATAACATTTAACTCCCTAATGAAAACCCAGTTTAGCGGCGGGGGGGAGGGAGGGGAGGGGAGGGAAGAAAAAAGACCGGAGACCAATTCCTGAAGTGCTTAGAAATTGTACAGAGGCCTCCCAAAATGCAACTTGTTTGGTCATGTTTACCTACTAAGAGCGGCTGGCTTTCCCAGCACAAAAATGGTATTACTGCAGGTGTGATTTAAGTAATTAAATTAAGGAGAACAGATCCCAACATGCTTAAAATATGACTCAGACATTCAGAGGAGAAAACTTGTCAGTCTACAACTTGTCCAACTGCTTTACTGACAAGCCAAACTGAGAAAGCTGGCAAGAAGAAAGGTACCACAGTGTGTTTGTTATCTGACATCTGATTCAGAAAACAACAGGTTACAAATTTACCAATCGGCAATTTTAGACAACTTGATTTTTACCTTACACATACCAACTCAAGCTTATAGGACTGCCCAATATATCTAAACTAATTAAGTGGTATTTACAGTGTTAAAGCCAAGTGTAGCTACTTCTAGGACAGAAGTGCTGTGATATTAAAACATCAGAATCAAAGTTGATTGCATAAGCAATTCATCCTGAAGGATCATGAAACACTTTAAATTAGGAAAGCCAGGAAGTGAGACTATAGCTTAAATGTCTTTAAGAAGAAAAGGAGGGAGACAAATCCTGAATCTCAAGCTGCTTCAGGCTCAGAACCTAACTGAAAAATACCATGAGATCACAAACCCAACAAGAGATACATCTGTTGGAATAAGCTTCTTCACATCCCTATTCAGGGATGCAAGGGGTTTTGGGGAGGTGTAAGGGGAGACTTAACGGTGGATGCTGCAAAAAATCACACTTAAGACTGTAGTAATTTAATGAAAAGATAGTCCCATAGGTGTATGTCGTGTAATGGAGGAGAAATATATCAATTTTGCCAAGGAAACTGCCTAATCAGATCTGTGCTATTCCTTTCTGGCCCATACGTCACAATTCTTGATCTATAATCCATGGTGCACTGGGATACAACCAAACAAGTTCTCCATGTCAGTCCAGGAGAAGATTTGACTGTAGGCTCCAGGCACTTGACGATTAAGTGACATCCACTACAGCCTTGTGTCACCAATAAAAATTCTAAGACAACAGAGCAACTTTGTTCTCCTCCACAGCGGTCAAACGAATCCTCTTTAGTGCTTATTATATAAAAGATGTAAAACAGTAAGAAAACTATAATACAAATAGTGGCAGTACAAACTACCTTTAAGTGGGCAGGATTAGTAGCTCCTTTCAGTGTCTCTTTCTGCAGTGTTGCAATGGTTGGTCGGTTGTACACTCGATCTACGAGCTCTGGAACAGTATCCAGATGAGTTGCAATATCAAACTCCTGAACTATAAATAAAAAGAAATTTAGGAATAAACTCACATGAACTTCTTGGACTAATGCTCAGCAAACCTTCCAAACATGTAGCTTAAGTACAGTCAGCGATGGAAGCCCCAGCAACAGAGCTCCTGCAGAACTGAGGTCTTATCTAGTAATCAAGAGATTTCTAGAGCACCCGAATTATTATTCCCGAAAAAAAAAAATCTTTTTTTATGATAACAGCATAAAGAGAGCACCATACTATTTTAAACAGCCTACAATAAAGCATCACAGAACAAGTTTTCTGACAAAACCCGTTTAAATCTTACCTTCTTTTTTGGTATCAAAAAAGAACACGTGCTTGTTGGGATTCTTCCCCTCAGCATCCAGCAGATGGAGCTCCGACTTCAGCCTCTCGATTTTCTGCAGGAAAGAAAAGTTAATTTGTTTTGCCAAACATCCGTTAACAAGGTAAAGAATGTCTCCCTGAAGTAAATTCCAGTTTGTTTCTCAAGCATACAAGCATCTGAACTCTTCCTTCCTTTTTAGTCTTTGAAAATACACCTAGTCTATATTTATGTCATGCCTTCATAACCTTTTCGAGTAAAGGTTAACAGTAATTTCCAGTATTACCCAGCCAAATATGTACAAATCAATTTTCAAAACAGTAAGTTATCTGTACGGCAGACAAAGTAGGAATGATTACCATGAAATCACTAGCACAAATATGAAGGAAAATTCCAAGCTGGCTGACTTCAATTTTTTTATCTGCAGTGATGGTGTGTGGATCAACATCAGAGCATAAAACATTTTCAGAAGTGGGTCATGTTTCTGTTGATTGCCTGCCTACCATATTCAAAGAACCCACTTCAGTAACAATAACGCTCAATTCTTTATAAATATGTGAAGGAAGAGTACGTGTTTAATGTCTGAAATTTACATAAGAAATTGCCATGTTTCATAATAATGCATGGTATAGTTTTTATTATTCAGTATACCTTTAGGCTCTATATACAGAGCTCCACTGACATTTCCATCTATCATTTCCAGTATTACACGAATCAGGTTTCACTAAACATAAACACAATAGTCAACAACAAAAAAACATAATAAAAAGAACAATTCTGAGCAAACTCGAAAACACTAAAAAAGTGAAGTATTACCTTGGCTTCTGCCACTCTTTTCATTTCCACATATTTAATATCCTGTGTCCTCATCAATTTCACCTGTTCGGGGGTCACTTCATCCTTTGGCTGCTTTATTATATGAACTCCATCCTAAAACCAGACGGAACATAGCACTTACAGACAGATACCATTCTAGCTATAGTGTACTATGGGTCCTAATAATAACAGCAAGAGAACCTTTTTGTGCTTTGCCCCTCATTTTCTTCAAAGCCTTCCATAGGCACCAAACCAAGTCTGCTAATTTATTTACTAATTCATAAATTAAAAACAATACAAGGCAGAAAAAGAAGTGATGTTACTTAGAGCAACTGAGTGTAACCCTGCTTGAAAGCAATTTAGATTCTCACCTGGAGCTCTGCACGTATCATTTTAAAGTAGAACTCATCAGGATTCTTGTCCAGAGCTTTCTTTTGAAGTGCTCTGAGGGCATTCTGTTTCTTGTGATAGTCACTGGGGAAAAAAAAAACAGAAGTTGTTCAGCAGTTTCTCCAAGTTCACACTCCTTGATGAGACGCTGAGTCCTTCAAAGTGATGCTCAGAGCTTTGAGACAGCAGACAAGGCTCCACACATAGAGCTGGACACCAACGATTGACTTTAGCTTTACAGTTTATTCCTTAACAAAGCTGGAAATGAATAGCATCCAACAGTAAGCGTTAGAAGAGTAATGGAAACACGTTCACCCATTCTGCAAAGCTTACTGAGCTGCTTAGGACTCCTAGACCTTCTACAGAATCAGCCATTAAAGATGGAAGACTTACAAGTTCTGTATTAATCACAATAATAACCATTTTGTGAGCCCTTCGCCCTCCACGTTCCCTTTGCCTCCGACTCAGCCGCAGGGATATTTAACTGCCTGTGCATGTTGCGTTTGTTTCTATGAAAGTGCCAGCTAGATGGGATCGGGTACGCCGCTTTTTGTGCAATCAAGAACACGGGCTCTTCACGTCGTCTCTGCAATCTGCGACACTGCGGTGCAGAAACCGCTCCAGCCAGAGGGTAACGCTCTGCGGCCCGGTGAAGCCCGCGAACGCCGCCGGTGCCGGCCGCCCCCGCTCCAGGCGGGGACG